CAGACCGGCCAAGACGATGTACCACCGCACCATCCAACCATGGCGGTGTTTATAGTGTCGCCTGCACTCTTGCAACCGAAGACTTGGCACACACAAAGCTCAATTTGTAAAAACTCCTTGCCAAAATTCAAAATTCTACGCCCGTCGAGACTGTATCCATCCGTCACCTCATCTTGTTAACTTGTCCTTAATCTTCTTACGCCAATCCCAAAGAGCTGTCTCCCAGGTTTGTGCGCCACGCTTTGTGTCCTCCGTCGGGTATAAATATCAGCGTGGGCGTGTATTTGGTGACCGGCTGAGGCCAGAGAAAGTCGGCGAGAAGTGTGATCATTGGAACGAGGATGTACTAGTTCGTATTTGTAGACTTGATGAGGCTTAGGTAGGAATCGATTTGCTGCTGGATTAGGAAAGGGTGGAAAATACAGGCTGGTGCACAGACGCTTTTCATGTACTTTACAATCTCTTCACCTGCCGAATTTTGTGAATTTATCTATCAGAATAATATCATATTTCACATCATCCATTAGATGATATTATCAATCGTCGGGATGCACATCTAGCATCACCTTCATAGATCACCATTGTCAGTAAGAGTTCACATTTGATACCTACTGACACCCATTTGGCCACAGTGTGAGCACTCAGTGTCCATCGTGCCATCACCCAGCGTGAGCGCGCCATCTCCGCGACTCACCATTGCACATGAGCCCGTGTCACTCCACCGACGGACAGCAGAGTCATAACTGCTATACACCTTACAGCTCATAACCACAACACCTGGACACCTGTCTCACTCGAGAAAGGGAGGACTGTGAGGCCATATCTCGCGCAGCGGCTATGTACAAGATAAAGGCATGTTAGGGTGGCCAAAGGCTTTTCCTGTTTTTCGTTTGGTGGATATTAAGGGTTGAGGGAAGGGTGAAAGTCTCTAGCAAAAGGGTCTCGAGTGGTATCAGCGAATGCACTCAGTATATGAGAAGTCCAAATGTCAAACTGAGTTATCGTCGTATATAAATATAAAATATTCAACTATCCTGATTTGGCGCCTTGAGGCCGATGCAGATTTTTTTGGAAGACATGTACTTGAAGTAGAATGACTTAGTTCAACGTTTAGAAGACTCACATTCAGTTTTCATTTGCAGATACCACTCGAGGTTAACCCTTGCGGCGTATAGCCTCTTCCGTCCATACCCACCACAGGGAAAAGCGTGATAAACCTGTGGCTATCCAAGTGTACTTTCACCATCTCAAAAATACCGTATCTCCGCGAGAGAGTGTGGTGTGTGGGTCTGACTGGACTTGAACTAGTTTTCCCCTATCGCACATGGGTAAGGTGTTCAAGCTACCTCAAATCCACTTGGGAGAATGGGCTAAATGGTGTACCACTGCACCATCCAGTCCTATTATCGTAAATGTTCGTCAGGGAAGGACTAGCCTTGTCCTTGTCATGCTCTATGAGAGCTAGGCCTGTGCCCGTCACTAGTCAAATCCATCCATTCCTACCCTCACTCGCTTCGAAGGAGTGGGCCCGTGCATTAAATAGCGGGGCACGAACACAGTTTTTTCAAGGCCAGAACGACAGGTCCCATTGGGAGAGTATCAAAGCACAATATTAACTGCTATTTTCGTGTTTTCTGAGTCTAAGAATACCTGGAACCTGTGGGTTTCCTCTACCTTTAAGCCAATGATAACTGAAAAAGAAGTATATCGCCTTCTGTGCCTTCCATGCAGCTCTCCTCAAATAATATCGCCTACTACAGGCTGTAGCTTTGTGCATGGATCCGGAACTGTCTGGCTCCGGATATGAACATGAGTTCGCTAGTGTCATGGGATTGGATTAGATAAGATTTTTATTATAGTTCCTACTCGGTCTAAGACTATGGAGGACTTCGTGAATCTAACAAAAGATTCTAATAACAGTTGTGAAATTTAATTTTGAAATACGCCAAAATTTGTTCTTATAGATTTTGAGGGTCAAGCCCTTAATGTCACGGAAAAACGCGGCCGATGAGAACAAAATATCTTGCGCGCGTGTCATAGGTAATCTCCTTTTTTGATAAAATTTTTATTCATTTTTGGACACATAATAGTGAACTACAAATGCAGATTCTCTATTCGATCATTCGCTTAGAGGAGCCCTTTACCCTTCAACATCTCCCTTTCCAGCCAACAAAACGATGGCCATTTGCGGGTGTAGGGCAGCCGGGAAAAATCGCAAAAACCACTGCGTGCGGGGCTCTCCTAATACCGACATTAGGACTAGATCCGGAGACATATTGCCCCTACTGAAGCGTTCGAAGAGGCCGGCCAGCTTGGCGCTGCAGACTTGTGGGTACCTCAGGAAATTCATCCTCTGCCTTTCTAGCCTCCTTCCAGCTCCTTCACGAAGGTCGTGCTGAAATTTTAGAAAAGTCTTGACAGAGCATGACTGCTGTATGGCAGCTTAGCCCAAGTTCTTTTGTACCGTCCAGGACGTTGGGCAGTGCCGTCAACGAAAAAAGAAGCCCTCCTGGCTTTGTAGCCCAAATCTTGGCCTTGGCGCCCACAAACGTTGCAAAGTTGAAGAGCCCTCGAGAATGTCATTCCTAACATGGTCTTTAGAGTTATCTTCTCCCTCTCGCTCCACACCCTATATGCCTGTCCACTCCCAAGGTGTTAAGTCCCGTTAGAGAAACAGTCCCCCATAAACTAAGGTCCAAGCATTGTACATGATGACTTAATTTCTTCCATACTGGTATACTTAACGTTGTAAATTGGTAGTAGCGGATGGTCGGGAATTGTTCGGATTAGGTCCTGGTCAACGATGTCTAGCCTAATTGTGCTATGTTGCAGGCTACTGTTCCAATTATTCATGAGGTCATCATCAGGGTTGTTAGATTGATACCAAAGCGTGTCGCATAGTAGTCAGACATGCGACTCGAGTAGCATATGCACGGTAGACCTCAAACCCAAAATGATGATACGAATCAGGCTTTACATGCTACGTCCTGTATGGCTAGCGTGGTTGGAATATGGGGAATTTACCTGTAGATAGATAAAGACGTTGTAGCCCTCTGATAGTGGGGACAAGTCTTCTACAATATTATATCGGAATCAATACTAGCCTCTCATTAAGCAATCTCATGAATTATTTCCAATGTCTGTGATAACAGACATACATATACAATATTGACAACAAGTTTTAAATTCGATAAGTAATTAATGGGGCAAGCTCCTCTTTGCAATTGTATTAATACCTTTATTGGTCGTTAAGGTGAGGTGAAGTGTAGTTGGATAGAGGTTACGACTCATTTGATAATAATACGACCGACATTGCTGAGAAGTTTCAAATATAGATATGCTCGTGTTTGCTCTTGACTTCTATGCAGTTGCTATTCTTCTTGGCTTTCAAAAATACGCAGAGCGTACTGAGTGTTGGAAATTCAGACTCTATGTGTCTGAAGTTTCCCATGATTGGAACAACTAAGATTCTCACACATGACTCACGACCTAGATGATTGATATCTCCCTTACTGAGCATGTTTGATGCTTGAGACTCGACTAGTGCATGGTATGGTCTGATACACGTGTAGGCTTTCATCCACCGACCCTGACCCCATACTCATATTGTATACTGTCGTGTGTTTCATTGTCATTGTTAGAGTATGGAACGAGTGATGGATGGTATCTAGTCTGGATTTGGTCTATTAAGATTACATGTATATAAGCTGTCTAGGAATCACCAAGACAGATAATCTAATCAATTCAATTCATTCAACCAATCTTTTATTTCTCCACAGTATATCACATATTCTCCCGATTCATATCATTATTATTCTATTCATAAAATCGCGCCCCTATTCTTTGAGCCGCCTTACTAATCGAACCCATACCGGTTTTCCAACACTGAGCGATAACATCGGTAGCCCTGTAAAGTGAAAAAATAATCTTTGTCGTCTATGTCGGGGTATAGAATACTCGAGAACATTCAGTCGGTTCCAATAATTTCTTCCTTTCATTTAACCTTTGAAACACGTGGTCTCTTGTGTGGTCGAGATTCAGGAATAAGTCAATCCTTAAACGTATGATGATGAGATGCTGTCTTTCACTTTCTAGGTTGAGCCTGTCTTGCTGTCCATCAACCGAGTACTTCAAGATTAGGGTGGTGGGCACAATAGGAGCTTACCTGCTAAGTACTCGCGCAACTTCAAACTAGATAAATACCCACATTCATATTGATCCTCTGGCGCAAGTTCAATTAAACGAGACTTTTTAAAATTGATTCTTGTTTACGAGTGATACAGAAGTGCTCGGAGCAGAATTGATATAGTATAGGGTTAAACGGAATGTGTATATGTCACGGCACTCATAGCACTGTAAAAACGCTGCGACCGTCTTTGTACTACTATGGAACTACCAATGCAGGGTATACAATATCTCCAAACGCCTTACCTCCTTACCACTTGAGTAGACCATGATCACAGTTATAGCTCCGTCATATTAAGGTGCTGGGATGATTATTTTCGACTAACACTCTTACAATCTAACAGAAATCTTATATATCTAAATTAGCTTAATCAATTTAACATTGAAATTTTGGGCAAACTTGATAACTTGCATGAATATTATAACATAGCTGTCGAAAATAATTAGCCTTTTGTTTACATTAGGTCAAATGAACCCATATTCCTTCGAGTCTCTTGGCAATTTACGTTTCCACCTCATGCCAATTTCTCATGATTATTGAAGATTACAAAGAGTCTAATTGAAACTAGTCGGTCGCTTTCAGGGCCGTATAAATATCAGGTAATGAGGCAAGAAACACGATCTTCCCAATATCCTCCTTAACTACAGTGACATCCCCTACTATTCATTACAATCTTAACGCTACCAGTCTGGAATCAACATCTCCTTCTTGTGAGCAAGAGAGAAGCTGTTTAAGCCGTGAGATCCAAGCTATCAATAAATACAGTTACAATACTCAAATATAATCAACAATCCTCGCTCTCTGTATATTCAACATGAAAATCTCAGCTCTTTTTTCTGTTGCAGCTCTGTTGAGCCAGTCAATGACTGTACTTGGCTATTTATTCTACCGGTGTGGAAACGACTACATTACTGAGAGAGCATTAATCAATCAAATTAGCATGGAACATAAAAAACTGACAGGTCAAGGGTCGAGTGCTGATAGTTTCCCAGGGGGAAGGGCAACCGCTGAAGTAACCTTCTGGGAACCTTCTATATCGAATCCAGGTATAAACGAATCATTCCAAATCTATGGCATTCCCCTATAATACTTACTGGCAACAAGGTACTTACCTCGATATCAAGGTGAAATTTGATATTTACAGACAAATGCTTTCCTTCGAAGTTTCATCTTCGGGAAAGAGAATTCCCTGTGAGGGAGATTACGGTGCAGAAATTCCCGAAGAGGATCTAGAGGTTTCCGACGAACCTTATTATGCCAACTAATATTTCAGACACTATGCAACAGCATTGTAGCTTTCCAGGCAATGTTATATAATCATCAAATCAGACAATTTTTATTGAGGTATTGAAGATATACGGGCTACAAAATTTTCACCATGTTGGGTCCTTGAGATGTGCTATTTCAAGTCAATCGGCTCTATCTAGATACCACACTACTACGTCCTATGTAGCCATGTTTACTGATAATCAAAATTTTTACCTAATCTAATGACTAATTCTTCACCACAATCCTTCTGTTGAAATGCTACCCATCCCTGAAAATAAAATGTCGAATGGCCTAATGACTTAATGACCTTTCATGTATAATCTTAGATATGATGACTAATTATGTTGATAAGTAATGAGTTACCTGTTTAGGAATGGCGTCAGGAGAGAGGGACAACTGCTGTATATACGTGTTTCCTTTAGCTAGAAGAGAAAGAATAGAAGAGATATGTTTACCACCAATTGTTATTACTGCGACAGAAAGCTTGTGGTATGAATAACACTCGAGTATTCCGACATATACTAAGAATAAGGAGAGCTCTTCAAGTGATGACAGAGAAAAGCAAAGTATAAACTTCAAGGGGTATCTGTAGATGTCAAATACATGTGGGACTATTCTCGACACCTGTCAGTGGTGTTCGCTATAACCTCCAGCTCTCACTGTAGGGTCAGATCCCTACTTGTTATGAGGGGAGCGAGGTGCGATGTTAACGTGAAGAAGAGTCTGGTGGATCAAGGTTAGGTTTAATTGACTGAACGTGACACAATCTATATCTAGTGCGCGCTTCACTCTGTTTGTACATGACAAGCGAGACCCTAATACTAGGGCTGTTGAGAATCCAGCCTTGTGAATCAGGCCTACGTGAACTAAAATCTAAATAAATAAATAAAATATGCCAATTTTTTGAAATTCGAATTTTCGAATTTGCGAATCTTCACCTTTTTCCCGTCTCCCTCCCTCACGCGCTCGTCGCATTCTATCAAAAAAATTGTGATCGAGTCACTGGCATTTTCACCATGCCACCTGTTCGAAAAAAGCGTCCCAACGCCAAGTTGGACAACACGAGAGTCCACCCGAGGGCTCTCGAGCAATTACCTGGCCTTGCCTAGTCTCCGAAATGCGCGGAGATGAGCAAGGTCTCCATCAAAGGGAAGGAAGAAGCCCTCCCCGCCGTCGCTGAACCCGATACTGACATGATCGGGTCAGTCGAAATTGTTGAGGAAATCTCTCAGCGACCCTCCGTCCCCCACAGGATTGAAGAATCGTCCAAACCTCCTCTGACCACCTCAAAACCGTCGGAAAATGCTGCACCCATAGCAGCATCAACATCAACGTCGCAGCTTAAAGCTGCCACGAAACCAGAGTGTCCCCTCGAGCTACGACCAATAGTCGAAGCTGAACAACGACGCGCCGCCGAAATAACGGCAAATCTGGCCCTCTGCTCCGCCGCCATCTCTGGCGTCGAAGCCACCATTCTCCCTTTGACCAACGGGTCAAATAGACAATTCGTAGACTCCATGAGAGTCTACCAACGCGCCGCCATTGCGCAATACACGGCCACGGGCCCGGCCACTACGCCACCCGTCCTCCCTCCTCGCCCGACGAACCCTCTCCCAAGGGCTCCCGACGCCAGGAGACAAACAATACCTACCGTCCCAGCTCTGCCTGTCAAAAGCACCTGGGCTACGGTGGCCAGAAACGGACTGCAAAAAAAAGCAGTCCCAACTGTGAAGGCTATGCCGCGACCTGCGGCCAAAGCCCAACAAAAAGAAATCCCCAAGGCGAAAGTCGATAAGCGACTATTCCTTCGCCTTGAAAAGGACCACCCGTGGCGAAAATTGTCCACAAGCAGCGTGAGAACTAAGTTAGAGTATACATTTGGCTACTTTAACCAAGAAATAACCTCACTCCACCGAGTGAGAACGGGCTTTGCTATGCTAGCAAAGAACGAAAAAACACGACAAGAGACTTTACATGGCTCTTCGAAGCTGGCAAGTCATAACGTCAATCTCGAGGCATCTTCGGATCTTTTCGCCTTACAGATACCGAACGTACCTGTAAGGATAGTTACGGTGTGCGGCACCAGGGCGGTCGATGCTAGCTCGGTCTCTGCCAAGATTCTCGGTACGACCGGCGCAATACCAATCTAGGTCCGACCTCATGGGACATGTCAACCTGGGGCACCATATCAGAACTGGCATGCCCTTTTCACGCGGGACAACGCTCCTCGTGCCGGCTTCCGCATCTTCGACGAATCTGGTATGGCAACCATTCACAAGCCTCGTCGCCAAATTGAACAGTGTAAACGCTGTTTAGGCTTCCACGCCACTTGTGGTTGCTCCCGCGCTCCAGCCTGCTGGAACTGCGGCTCCAACATGCACTCGGAAGCCGAGTGTAAGGCCCTCACTAAGTGTCGCAACTGTGGGGGACCCCACTGATCGGATTCTCGGGACTGCAAAGTCAGACCCAGAAATTTTGGGCCGGTGACAAAAGAGCAGCTCGCATGGATATGCCACCTCGAGCAAGGGAAGTTCGCGGAGGCGGCTCGAGCTAGGGCTGCAGCCAAAAAGACTGAAGAGGCGATCGTCGCCGCAGCGAAGGATGTTGCAATGGCCGAGGCAACAGGTTTCGGAGTGCTGGGACATGAAGAAGAAGTTTGAGGACACAGCAACCTCGAAGATGTCCCCTTCTGGGGCATCTACTAACAATTAGCAGGATACCAGCTGGATCAAAGGTGCCTGCTAACTCATCTACTGCTCTCAGCAGAGATTAAGTAAATTTGTCATTTGGAAGGTGTGACAGACGAGGGAATGTGTGAGGAGCACATTGACTGGGTCCAATATGGAGGAATCTTCTGGTTTTTTCGTTTCTGTTTAATCAGCTGCACTTTTGGTAGCAATTCACGAGGTTGGAACGAGTTAGGCTGTAGGAAAGATTACAGGGAACCCTGCCGGCTCCGCCTGTCCTTGACCCAATGTGGAAAACATAGCTTTAGCTCAGGACAAAATAAATAAAAACAAAAACAAAAAATATGCCATTAAGCAAGCAATTTTTTGGAAATTGATGAAAAATTCACCTACCCATCCCCTCAACCCTTCAATTCATAGTTTCACAAGCTAGTTTCATCTTTATCATAGTCGCAAGACCCTGAGTCTCCGAAATGGCGACGGGTCCTACGAAAATCACTCGCCCCGCGCGCCAGCACAAAGCCATGGCGAAAATTAAAATCAGGTTGCAACACCGCCTAGATGCAAGAAATCTATCGATTGATACAATAGATCAAGACAAGATGGAGTCAGAGATGACCGAAAGATTGAGAGTCTTCCAGGAAGACTCGAACTCAACAAACCCAGACGTGGAAATGGGCGATATGGTCATTGACCAATACATAATCGAGGGTCTCGACAAATCCAGATGGAATGTCGCTCAGAAACATGATGATGTGGTCCCTGTGACCTCCGTCATTTCAACATCAAAGAAGATTGCTGCTCCTGCTGTCAAGAAGGCAGCAATTCCAGAGGTGAATAAGGCTAATCAAGCCACACCTGCTCAGATCGCCAGCAAACCCTCATCAGTGGCGACTGAAAAACAACAACCTTCCTGCAGCGAAAGCAGGAAACAAAAAATCAATGGCTGGCCCCCGGAACTAAAAGCCATGATTGAAGCTGAAGAGCGCAGGGCAGCTCAAGCAGCAAAAAATATAATGATCTGCACTGCTGCGATCAATGCTGTCGGGACCGCGGTCTCCCTATACTCAGAAGAGTCGAGCAATCCGTTCATCGACTCGATGAAAATATATCTTCGAGCAGCCATTGCTCAATTCATGAAGTCAGGACCCAGTGCGGCCCCCCCAAACCTTCCACAGCGCCCAAGCTGCCAGGAAAACATGAGTTGTCCTATAACCAAGGCCAAAGAAAGAACTCCGATGAACAGTCAGGAGCCACAACACCAAGTCACCCAGGCCAAATCGACCTGGACAACAGTCGCCCGGGGCTCTCCCCAAATGTCAATCGCTCCAGCGAAGACTGTTCGAGTCGCCCCAAACCCAGCAGTACAGGTCAAGAAACAAGCTAGACCTGTGACTGCAAAGCCAAAAGATGTTCGTCTGTTTCTTCGCCTCGGAGAGGAGCATGCATGGCGCGCTCTTTCGCCAGCTGGCGTGAGAGATGCCGTGACTAAATTGGTGGAGGTTCCATCCTCCAATATTGAACATGTGTATCGTGTTCCCACCGGCTTCGCTGTGAAAGCCAAAAATGAAGAAGTACGTCAGCTCCTCTTAAACGCTGCAATCATTCAGCAGGGTTGAGGCTAAGTTGGAGACAGCCTCGGATCTGGCTGCCCTTCGAATCGCAACGGTTCCAGTGGCCCTATACTCACTTATGGGCAAGGTCACAGTCACTGAGGAGATGGTGGCAGAAGAAATAACTCGAACCACCAAGGCGGTTCCGGTACGTGTCCGTCCACTCGGAAAGGGGCGAGTAGGAGCTCCTTACCAAACTTGTATAGCTCACTTCGAGAGAGCGTCTGCCCCTCGGCCGGGCTTCCGACTTTTCGACGACTCTGGAATTGCAGTTCGTCACCAGCCTAAGCAGGCAATAAGCCAGTGCAAACGATACCTGCAATTCCACGGCACTCGAGGCTGCTCACGTGCCCCAGCTTGCTGGAACTGCACGTCAACAATGCACTCCTCCGCAGAGTGTAAGGCGCATACAAAGTGCCGCAACTGTGAGGGCCCCCACCGATCGGACAGCCGTGACTGTCTAGCTCGTCCTACAAAGTCTGGACCAGCATCCAAAGAGAACCTCAAGGCAATCAGGCAGGCGAGTCAACGGGAATTTGCTGCAGTTGTACGAGCAAAATCAGCTGTCAGACGCGCTGAAGCCGCAGTTTCAGCAGCCTCTGAAAAGGCAAAAATAGCTCAGAAGAGCTTCAAGTCCAGCAACTGCTTCGAAGTGCTGATGACCGATTCATCGCCTTCTGTAACCAAGGTTACAGA